GGGCCACTGTGTATGAAAAATAGTATACAGGCCTATGCCGCGAAGAAAGAAAGCCCCAGAGCACGTGTTTATCAGCCTCAGCTTCGCCTCGGCCACTAATTACACGTACTCTGGGACTTTTCTGTTTTTCGCGGCCTAGGGCAGTAATATACTATTGATATGTGGAGAAATAAAATGATGTCACGTAAGATTTTTGGAAATCTTCCGTAATCGGGACGGTAGTATTTATTTTTCTAACTCAGTAAAAAAAGATATATGTTTGAAATAAGTAATTCAAAATATGTATATTCGTAAATACATTTCTTTTTTTAAAACGATATGACGCAATTTTTAAGGCAACATTCTTATCGCACATATAAATAGTCCACCCGCATCGTTATCAAGGGCTTTGTTGCATGTAAATGCAGTAAAAATTAATTTCTAAAACAAGATGTCGATTATCACTTGCTACGGGTTTTCACTCAACGGTACAGTCGGTCTTGAGCGAGACCCCACTGATTCGGTAATCCGTTACTTTTTTTTACATCTACTGCAACTTTGCAAATAAAGAAGAAAGGTGGCACGACGTGGATAAAAAGAAAAAAGGGATCGAAATGGAGCCTAAAAGTAGTGACACTCAGCTCGCAAAAAGAGTCAACGACCTCGAGTGATGGCTGCGGCTGCGGCTATATGTGCAGGCCACATGCAGCTATTATGCTGGCAAAGCTGTGTTTGCTGCAGATAATAATGATCGTTATAATCGGATTGCAAATTTAGCTTCCGCTTCTTTTTACAAACTTACTCGACACATAACTCGCACTCGCGCAAAAAAGACTGCACGGCACCGTGCTCACGCCATTCTTACATACGCACCTTACACTCTCACTTTTTGTTTTGATTTATTTAATCGAATTCTTGCTATGCGTACATAGTGCGCGTCTGTTACCACAGCTACTTGCTCAGCGCTTTGTTTGCTCTTTTCTTTTAGACCTGCATTACAGCAATTTGTCCAAAAGCATATTACTTAATGCGAAAGATATAAAGGCGACTCTGCTATTCCCTATTGAAATCTTAAAATTTTACAGAAATAAATTTATCAATAAATATTCTTTCGGGCATAGGAAAACAAAAAAAGTATAGTTTTATTGTCTACTAGTACGATTCGAATTATTCTGCATCTATATATGAGTAAATCTCGTGAAATTTTAATATTTTACTATTGAGAAAAAAACTTCTTTTAAAAAGCACACTCGTCAAATTTTTTTGAGGACTTAAAAGTGATTCAAAAACCTGAAAAAAGTAGTGCCCATCAAATTCGGAGGAAAGTATTTGAAGATTTAAAAAAGTTTATGTTAAATCTGAAGCTGAAGCAACATATTTTTAAGACAATATGTGCTCCTAAATTTGTTTAAAATATTAAATTTCCGTCAATTAAGAAAAGGCACTCAGCGTTATCTTTTCCAAAATGTCGAAAACAAAAATGGGCAATATAAATTGTGCCATTTAAAGTAAAACTGTTGATGTACAACGCAAAATTCGATTAAAATGCACTTAAAATCAACAATGGATGCGGACAGAGCCCATGTTTATATCGTAAGTATTTTTTTTTACAAAGCACACACACAAAAAATAGATATACCACTCGATTCTGCTACTAAAAAACTATTTTTCTGCATAATTTGGTGATAATTTATGGTGGGGCCTTTTGGGTAAATAGGATTTTACAATAAAATCGTTAAAATACTAAAAATTGAGTTGAATTTTTCTTAAGAGCGTAGAAGGCTCTGGTAACGACGCACGCCATTCAGTAACATTTTCCTCAAAAATATAGTTTCTGAGGATTGCTTGGTGATGATTTGGATAAAAACGCTCGATGGGCCTATCGGTTATCAACATTTGAAAATTAAAAATAGGATGAGTTGAATTTAAAAACGCATAAAAAACGTCATAAAATGCATGATATTTGTATATGAATTTAAATTTTAATACCACTAGAAGTTGTTCTCAAGAAAAGAAAAAGTTGAAAAATTACTATGAACAATGCCAGGAATGGCAATTTTCAAGTTTATACACAAATATTGTACAGTTGACACAAATATTAAAATTTCACGTTACATAATCCGTAAGAAGGTACCTCTATTCCATGAAAATTTGAAAAATCCTGACGCATAATCTATCTACCGAGAAAAACTAATACAACAAAGCATACCTTCAATTGATAAAATAACCAATATAATAGTGCTTGTCTCCGTAATACGCGACCCTTGCTCTTCGTCGATTTCGAGCGACCACCAACGAGTATGAAATTGAGGCAAGTGGTAAATGTCTGCTACAACTGAATCAATTATCGATAGCAAGTAACCACTACGGCGACCATTCAAGATAAGGTATACACATTCAATTTTGCATACAGGTAGTCGCGCAACGGCCGAGAGCAGATCTTTAAATAAAAGCGTATTAGGTGGTCTTGACTTACTAAAAATGTAAGCCAACTGGTTTTCAGTACTAGCGCCGTGATAAGTCACAAATATACATTACATATAATGTATATAGCTTAGCTGGAAAAGAGAGAGTAAAAATAAGTAGCAAGCTTATTGAGAGCTCCAACAAGGACGCACAAAGATAAATAAAGACCAGTGATTTTACAATTAGACTAGCCCGACTTTAATAGTATATTTTGCACCTAGGGAGTGAAAAACTGGAAAGTCTCAGAGCACGTGTAATTTATCATCCGAGGCGAAGCCGAGGTCTTTTCCATAACCGTGACTCAAAATAGAGGTGGCCAGTCAATTTCTCAATATTTTTTAAATGAAATATGGGAAAACACGACTTTTTCGTCTCTTTTTAGGGCTAGCAGACTACATGCCAACTAACTTAACTCATGTTACTGCCCGAACCCTCGATTGACTAGCGTATCATCCGTGGAAACCTCCTTCAGAAAATCGTCATTGCACGTAACTGCACCAAGATACGTTTGCTTCCAGTTCTTTTCAAAGACAACATTAAAAAAAAATTACTTTCAAACGGAAAAAATAAAACTGCGCTCAATTTTGCCAAGTACATATATGTCAATTGCCATACAAACGTATAATTTACATAAGTGTTTGAGGAAATTTTCCGCGGCTATTAGATCATTCTTGGATCTCGTATCTCGCTTAACATTGGCATTTTAATTACATTCAAGCACGTACTTAACATTATAAGAAATCCAGCATCGATAAAATATTTCAACAGAAACAGCTCGTTGAAAGTCTGCGCAGAAATCGATATAAATGATCAGTTCTATTTGAGGAGCTTTTGAATGAATTTGCAAATTCGCGCGTGCACTATACGCCACACGTTGCTTAGACTTCTGTACCTAGCACACACTGCAAGGAAAAATACTCATACACTGTACTCGTACTCGGCGCATAGACACATACTGCTGCGTGCATACATGCGCACGTTGCGTTGCATCATTGAGCATATGAGCACGAGGCTGTATTATGCTTAGACGGATCTGAGCATTGATATTTTAATACACAGACACCATCGAGTTCTTGCTTCAATGGACTCGGTGATACAACTTATGCAAGTCTTGGATAATCAACGATCAAACCTAGAAAAATTTGCAGCGCAAAACGTTTAAAGCGGACAAAATGATATATGATACACTTCTACACATATTATATATGAGTACACTAGTAACTTTCAGGCGCGCTTTGCGCGCGTAGATTTTTCAGTCAATTTCGAAAAAGTTGCTATTTTGACCGTAGATGTCACTTTATTACGTTTCGACTCGAGTCAAAAGTCAGTCGACCAATCAGGGGCCGAATAGATTTGCTTCCCTTTTAGGATCATCATTATTTTAAGAGAGGATTTTATATGTGTCTAAGGCGCATTTGTGCTCTACTCCTAGTCTTGTAACTGTTCGAAAGTTACATTGTTCCCTCTAGAGGTCCCGAAAAGCATAAGTCAACTTTTTCATTTTTAAATCTGTACATGACGTAAATAGTTCTCAAGTGACGCGCGCATCTCGATAGAAACTAATCAATTCAAAGATACGGCATTTATATTTTCAACTATTAAAAAGCACGAGAAAATGAGGCAATGCTTTTAAATCTCAATTTCAATTAAAGCATTTGATATTCGACAGTAAATCAACAGAAACGGCAAGCAAACGAGTATAGGGCGCACGTATACGTGATGAGGCTTGCTATTCATTCGATGCATGATGCCACGTACGAGTCTCCGTGAGGCACATCACAACGCATAATAGACTCAAGCGATACTTTAAAAATCAGAACAAGATATTTTAAACCTGATCGAATCAGGATTACGGTAAAATAAATTTTTATTCACTAATGAAATTAACATTATACGGTAGTAGGGCATTACGTCGATTTATCTGAACTATCGATTTCCAAGTAAAATAGCTTATATTCAATTTTGTGCACGTTCATGAGTTGAGTAGAATCGATCGTTAAGCTTACACGGTCATTGTCTTTTATGCATGTTTACCAAACTGCCAAAACAACATTATTTTCGCTGAGTATCGATAAATTATGTTGCTATTGATAATTCATGTATTTTATATTTTTTGTTATTCTAGACGTCTCAACTAAATGCCGGTTCTTTAGGGTTAAGACTCTCTCTGTGTTCGCATCACACCCGCATACGCTCGTGCGCTAACCTCACTTTGCGCTACCAGAAAGTGCGACTCATGACCCGGAAAAAGGGGCGTAAATGTGAACTTAGCTCAGTGCTATAAAGTACTATTTTCGACTCATTAATTGTTAATGAATAACATAATACAATATAAACATAATTTATACAGCAATAAAGTGCTAGTAAAGACCTTTCGAATGAGGGGTTCAAGATCTCGATCCAACCATTTTCCACTGAACAGTGTAACTTTTCAGTTGGGTCATTTTTCGCTCAGGTATGGCAAAAATGATTGCAGGACAGTGTATGTATGCTGGGACCGACATAAAACTCCAAAAAGTTATCAAGTTTTGGCAGACAAGACTAATAGTACTGACCATTTTGAGAGTCTCCTCTGGCCTTAGCAGATAAAACATCGATTGGAGATGCTGCTGAATGTCGCATCCTGCTGCCGAAACTCGACGGGATGGACGGGCTCGTTCGTTCGGCGGCAACACCAGTGCTGCGCCTTTGCCTGCGAAGTAACATTCGCTGAGGCTGCAAAAAAACAAATATATGCATTTTATTCAAGACCTTACGTATGATAAATCCAGCATTACACTTTTATATTTTCATTGGAGATTATGTGTGGTATAAAATTAATCAAATCTCTGTATGGTAGAAAAATTCAAGTGCGCACGTTATACATAATTTATCTCTATTTTGTATGGTAGAAAAATTTCAATTAATTTTGAGTTGAATTTTAATGGTTTCCACTGATAGCAATGTAGAGTAGCTGGAAGCATAGCCCAAAAATAATGGGCTTATAGTATTTTTATAAATGAATTTCTTTAAAACTCTGTAACGAAATATGCTAGAAGAGATAGGCTGTGCTATTTAACTAAACTATAATACCAATTTACACTGAAAACCCAAAAGTATAAAATTTGCTGTGAAATATAGTAATAAGTACTCAGGCAGTTTACACTATTCAGAAGTGTTTCGAGCGCAGGTTATACTTTTTCAAAACTTTTATGTGGAAAAAGTGCAAGGAGCTTGGTTCAAATTTTTTAAAAGTGTGTTTTAAGCACAGATTACACTTTTGGAAAATCATCACTACAGAAAAAATGTCAGAGGAGCAAATTAAACTTTTTGAAAAATCGTCGTAACAGAAAAAAAGTACTGAAAAAGTGTGTCGATTATACTTTTTCAGCTGTGATGATTTTCCAAAAAGTGTAACCTACGCTCGAAACACGTTTGAATAGTGTAAACTGCGCAAGTATTACTATTTCACAGGAAATTTTATACTTTTCGGTTTTCAGTGTAATAATGTAGTAGAGTCGGAAATATGTGCCAAATTAGGCAAATTAAAAAAAAATTAACTGTTACTCAAGTACTGTATTCACTTATCGCAATTGAAAACTAATTTTGCAAGAGTGATGAAGCCCCATGTCAAACAAGATTCACGTGGCTTTCGCGCACTTAGTTATACTTCAAGGCGAATAAATAATCGTCAGTGCGTTCGAAATTTGCTTGGTAACGGCTAAAAATCAATAAATCGAAAAATTCCAACGAGCGCGCGCGTCATACATGAAGATCGACAATGCCAAAAGTCCGCGTAATGTCCATTAGAGCTTTCTGACAATGAATTTGCTATCCTTTTTCTCCTTTATTTCGCTTTTTTTTGTCTTTCTCGGTTCTTTCTCGTCAATTCTTGCGTCCGTCTTTCTACCAGCTTGAATTCCAAATTAGGTAGGTGTATTTTCACAAGTCATATTCGCATTGGCATTGAAATTAAAAAAAAAAAAAGCATTGCGCATGATATATGTTACCACAGATACAATAATAGAATGCAACATTTTTTCACCATTTTCGCATCAATGGCTTTTACTATTGAAAAAGGTAACAACACAAGCATGGAGAACCAACGAAATCAAAATCACGCTCGTACATTTCACGTATATACTGTCAGTTCAATGGGCGATAAAGGATGACCGTTAGTTCGGGTGAAAAATAGAGCTTTTATGATAAAACGAGACTAGCGTGGATATGAGCTCAGAAAAAGGTTTCAGAAATTTGTTTATATCTGCTGAAAAAAGTGACTTAATTCTTACGATTTAATGCACTTCACGATCTCCATCGCGGACATTGCCAAGCTGCAGCTTTTTGGCAACCGAATCAGCCGCAGTTGAATGAAAAATGAAGGACATGATAAAGCCCTTTTACTGCTTCACCGGTGCATTATACATCACTGTATATAACTTTGTAAGTTATTCTTATCTTAATGATGCTCATAACCCCTGCAACGCATCGATTATATTTTCAGCAATACAAGAGAAAAGTTTAATATAAGTTATCTTTTTTCTAGAGAATATAATATGATGAAAACGACAAATTATACAAAACTAGCAACGTACCTCGCTCGCTAACGTTCACTCGGTTTGTTAGAGTTTTGCAAGAATTTTTAAGAAAGCAATAAATATGAAACAAGTTTCTACAAAATGCTATTTAAGCTGGAATTTTGGATAAGAAAGAATTTCATGATAAATTTTGAATATAAGGTATATATGTAAACATGAGACTGACAATAAAAAAAAATTTTTTTTAAATCGAGGGACGCCTCCTCAAAAGTTTCAAACCCCCAAAAAAATGAGCTCAACCAAATTTCAGCTCATTATATGGTTAAAAAATCCCGCGCCACAAGACGGGTGTTGATTAGCATAAAATTAAATGGAAATCCCGTATGCGTATAAAACGAGAAAACGACTTTTCCATTTAATACGCACTAGAAGAGACACGAGTGACGGCTATGCCGGCACGAGGGGCTTGTTTTGCGCACACTGTGCAGAAAAAGCTGGGCACGTATTGCATACAAAATTTTATGCAATAGAATGCAAAAAGTGCATAAATAAAAAGCATGATGTTTCACAAAATACCAGATATTTTACCGCACATGATTATCCAAAAACGCTTTTTGCGCAGTAAAAAAGTGTGCGCAAATAGTATATTTTGCACCTAGGGAGTGAAAAATATACTATTTTCGCTATACTATTGCATAAAACAAATGGCAGAATAATATTATTGGAGCAATTTTAGTCAGGAAATACAAAAAATAACATCGTCACGCGTCGTAAGATGCACCCAGTCTTGAAGTCCGCGAGTGAGATCAGAAAACAACGTAAAGCACGTTCGTGAACTAGCTGCGTGAGAGTAAAAGTACAATATAAGTGCAATGCTATAAGCTATATATGCGTAAGAAATAGCGTGAAGTGTCAATTTTGCAGCTCTTACAGAATATGAATATTTATCTATGATATTTCATTCATCTGCTTGTAAATGTGCGAGCAGTTTGCACGAGGAAAAGAGCAATCAGCGTGCAAATGTTAATAGTTGTCGTGACAAGGAGGGATTGATCAAGTTTCAACAGCTCAAAGTTGTTTAATAAAAATGAAATATCGACCGATTATTAAATAAGAAACAATAAAAAAATGGAATATTAAAATAAAAATTAGAATTAAAAAAAGTTGAGCTAATGCGTGAGTAAGTACTAAGAGCACTGCTTCAACGATAATATTTTCAAAATGATCACTGGCAGTTTTTAATGTGTTGAAATTGGTTATGAATACGATCGGGCCCAGTAGGTCATTGCCGATGTATGTCGCTTTGTTTTGAATCTGGTAGTGGAGGAAAAGAGAGAAAGATTAGATGATACGCTACGTTTAACTTATTAATTTAAGTGGACAGGAGACTATATAAGCGATAGTATAATAGGGTATGTACAGGGTATACAATGAAAATGAATCGAAGTTACTACAAGAGCGCGCATTGTTTATTTATTTTTCAGTCGATATTCTATAAATTAACAACTCTTTAAATGGATAAAATGGTTAATTTGATTTAAGATACGTCTATACTCGTTACACGGCATCGCAAGCAAATCTATGCATTCATATAAAAGAATGTTTGATAATTTTAAGAGCATAAATTAAGCTAATTGAATGCACTTTCACTGCCTCCAAATGTGCTCACAAGAGGGAAAAGTGAGAGAGATGAAAAGCAGTTGATACATTTAATGAAATTTATTTTAATAATTACGATTCACAAGAGTGGCATAATTTAGCAAGCATACCTGGGGTATATTATCTAATTGCAATTCCGTAAGTATGATGCAAAAAATTTAGCAATATTAATCTGAGAGAGTAATGTCGTGTTGATCGAGGTCACATTCGTTGATACTGCAAGTCACAAACGATGCTATGCATCTGTGCTACAATATGCACTTGATTTGGGGAATATTTGACGTCGCAGACACACGTGTACGATTAAAATCGTATCTCGGTAAAAATTCTTTTATCATTTGGTATACATCGACTTTCATTGAGAAATGGAGCTAAAAACATACCCAATGGTCCTTGTCGAACCCACTGGCGTCAGTGCCTCTGACGCAGCTGTCGACTTCCCAAAAGCCTCTTCTACGCTACTTTCTTTCTCCGTTGTGACGCTGTTTTGTTTACTTCGAACAACAAACATTTCTTACTTTTCCTTGCCAATTTTTTATTTTATTTCTTTCTTTTTTTTTATCAGTTACTTTTGTAGTAATTTTGAGCTCATAAACGAAAAATGGCAAAGTATAGTTTGATTTATAAAAAAAAGGTCATTTGCCAAAACAAACAGCTATTGCTCGGTACTACAACCATATTTAGAGTCGTTTTCGGAAGTCTCGAGAAATTTTGCGTCATCATAATACTGCGTGTCGAACTTGGCACGAAACACAACTTCGCAGAAATATTTTTAGCACAATATTTGAAAGCAAACTTTAATCTTTTCGATAAAATAACAGCTTCAGATTCAAATGAAATTAGATAAATAATTATCCAATCTCGTTATCAATTTTTAAAACATTCAATAACTAAAATAATTGAAGGGGAAAAAAACAAAAATTTAGCTACCATTTATTATAGATAGATAAGATTTCTCTTTAGTTTTAATGATTAATTTGGACAAAACTTTAATCGAAAATTGTATATACTAGTGCACTCGTAAAACTACCACAACTTCCAAATAACTAAAACAGTAGTCAAAACAAATAAACTAGGGAGATTCAAAAAAATGTAAGTTACAGATCCAACATCGACCGAAATACTGAATCTGCGAGAGATGTCGGTCGGTTGCTTTGAGGTGAGCAGTAGTAGCAGTATAGCCACGGCGTGGGCGAGTCACGGTGCGTGTATTATTAGCAAGTAAATGCTGTGCAGCACCACCACTACTGCCACTGCCACCAGCCACCGCGATTCGAGGAAAACAGTCGCAAGCTTGCAAAGCAGCTGCTGTAACATTTATTTCGATTATAAACTCGTGCATTAAAAAATATATTAATTTTAATAGATCTTTGTGCAAAATATTACTTGGCCTTAACACATACATAAAATACAAGCCAAATGATTAGATTGGCAAAAATGTAATCCTGAATCATGTTATCTTGAGGGGTTACATGGCATTGTGAGGGGGAATTTCTTTTTTTTTTTGAAATTTATACTTCAAAAATCAAAAGTCCAATC